GTTCAACTGAGAATTTTTTATGAACACCTGCGTGATCGTGTATCAATGTGAGGACGACGTTCATGTAAATTTAATGTATGATTGCAGTGACGGAACGATCATTCTAACTGCCATCCAGTGTCATTTACTATTACACTTTTCGCAACACACCATTATTTTTTGTATAGTGCTAAAAAAAGGAGAATGTCGAAAAATTTGAAACAACAAACTAGCGTGCAATACAAAATTTGAAAAATACATATCTTGTTCTAATAGTACTCTTCAAATTTTTATCGGAGACACGTTCTTCTTCTTCTGTGTATTTTTTATTTAATTTGTGAAACATAATGTGAAAAAATCATAATATATATATATATGTCTATATATATATAATATTTATATTTTGTGCAACTCGACGACGTACCTGCTTCCGGAATCGAAGAAAAAATGGAAAGGAAACGGGGACATAGAAAAGCAAGATTTCTGTCGATCGCGATCACGATCTATGGCTTGGATCGTGGTGCCACCTTTGAGGCTAGGTGAAACTGGCAACGAACGCGTTTCGCGAAGGCAGGTGCAGAGAACGTCGAGACGTCACAGACATTTAAGGCTGTGGGCACAATCAACGCGATTTCACGCGAACGATTCATCTTCGTGTAAATTTTATTTTCATGACACATCGTTCGTGTGAAATCGACGTTGTGGTCACAGCCGAACAAAATTTCATTTTGCATCCGTGTTATCAGTCCCACATCAGCTTCAGTTGAACTTGCACTTGGAGAAGTCCATCTCTGGATGCTGTTCCATGAATCTGTAAAAACAGAACGACAACAAATTCGTGACGTTAAAATATGGCTCCTGTCAGATCTCCTCGCACGATTCTCGCAGCTCCTCCGATTTCATACTTTTTGATCACGTCCTGCTTCTTCTGTTCGTCGGAAGTCGGTAAGCCCAACTCCTTTTGCCTCTGGTCGTACATCATCTTCTCCACGAGGCCTCTGGTCTCACCGTCGAGATCGGAGAGTTTGCTCGGCTCCGGGTTCACTTTCTTCGTACTTATCTCCGGGTCGGAGGTCACTACGTGTGCCCACCATTGCATTTTGTTCACCTGAGAAAACAGTGCCGTTCATGGGTCATCTCGACCCGCTAAACCTATACCTACTTGTTCATATGCGAATGAACATTGGAAATTAAAAATCAATGGAGGCAGCAAAAGGAATCAAAGATATTGAGAATGACAAATGTCCAAGTGAAAAAATGCGAGATCAACGAAAGAGCAGTCACAATCGAATGATTATCTGGCAGAAAATCCTGTCAACGAAATATCAAACAACCAGTTGTCGAAACACCATTCAGCCTTCGTAAAACTTTGCTATTCGAATCATTCAGGGCCACGTCAAGCAACAATAAACTCTTAAGGAATTCGACAAGAGAAACGTACTAGTCGATACGATAGGTTGAAATAATCCTCGGTTCGACAAGCATGGGAGGTCCAGGAATCGGGATTTTTATTCGCGTCACTTACCTTCTCCAAGTTGATCAGCAACAGTTTCCCGTCCTCGATCACCCAGGTCGATTCCTCGATCTTAACCTCGTGCGGGAAGTCGCCGTCGATGATCGGCGGTTGACCCTTGATGCCGCAGGTCAGATGCTTCTTCGTAATGTTCACCGTCACGTCCCTGGGCCTGGCCGAGAAGCTCACTTTCAAGGGCACTTTGATCTGGAATCAAACAGCGATCGACTTGTTCGATGACCGTCTTCAACAATGACATCTTCATTGCGCAACACAAAAGTCTCATTGTGATCCCTTCTAAATAAATTAAAAGGAACATAAATAGCGATTGCAGTAACAATAACGTACAATACTGTTCCGCACGACTACCCCTTTAAACCTTCTCGTGATTACTATCTGCGGATCATCGTGATCCATTTTGCAGCGTCCTTGGATTTCGGGAGTACAGCGACACAACCTTGGACAATTTAGAAGCAAAAGCCTTTGTGCCATTACGAACAATTATTTAATCACGTCTCAGGGCTGTTGATATTCAGATGAAATTAAATGCCGAAGTAGGATTCAGGAGTCCTTTTTACCTAAAGGATCGATAATCGTCCAAGGAGCTCGTTTCGCAAACGAAAGTTCGTATCTCTAATTCCCGCTTATTACCGCACGCTTCGAATTTAGCTCTTTTGTCACGGACAACGGTTGCGATAATGGCTAACCATTCCTCGATAAAGGATCGGTAATGATCAACGAGCCGGGGCACGATCGTCTGAGATTCGATTGTGCATCGAGCGTTATGGGAACTGATTGATTCTTTCATATTGATCAGTCCCCATATTGTCTTCAGATAAGCGTAATAGATGGAAAGTGGCGTTAGTCGCAAGAAGCACAGTTACGAAAGGAAACTGCTGTGAATGAAATCTGAATACGAAATCACACGGTTTTGTACTTCGGTAATGAGCTGAATTAATCTACATGGCTACTTGAAAAAACCTAGCCACGTCCCTATGTACACATATGCTGGCTGTTATTATTCAATCGTGGCACCCTTTGGGATTCTGAAACGAAGATGACAAAAGTCTAAATGAAATCTGCATAAACGTGAGAATCGACGATGTGGGACGTCCTCGGAATCATCAAGCATCGTCAGGAACAATTAAAATCCATCGAGTTCCGAAATCCTACATGATCCATCGAGCGTGTCGCGTGTCGCAACACTCGCGATACGTCCCGTACACGAGGAGAGGAAAAAAAGAATCGAACGAACGAGGATTACGCATTGTGGGATCATCTTGATGATGATCGTCTAAGCCGTCATCCTCGCGGCGCGCTCCTCGGTTCCCCAGCGTGACGAGGGGCGACGACGCCGAGCGCATCTGAGCGCACCGGTGCGTGGAAACGGATCATGGCTACCGACTTTGCTGTGCGTTAACAAAGTGGAATACCATTCATCGCGGCGACGGCGACGACGAACGAGCAGAATGCCGAGGATTATCCTAAGATCCGACCGAGACGACTGTTAACCAGACTGTGACGCGGAAAGTTCGGACGGAGGAGGATGAAGACCGATCACGAACCGGTCCTTAGCTTTTACGAGGCTGATAAGCAACTTTAAGGGGACGCGCGATCGTTACCTCGCTTTTTATGCGGTTCTCAATTTCAAGCATAAAGAGCACGTTGCTTAAAGTTCGGCGGTATCTTTCCCTAATTAATTTGTTGGCATTTTTACCGATTCCCCGTCATAGCACAACGAATTTCTGTACGTATACGCGCAACAGTCGCGTAAGCGCGTATTTTTATACGCTCATTTTGGTCATTTAATATCGGCCACATCTTTGGCGCGGTCAGCAACTGGATTTTACGATTCGAACACTACGATTACGCCAGAGAGCTTGTTTTATGGAGAAATTAACAGAGAATCGAACAGCTCCAGTTTTTAAGCCTCGTCGCAAAGTCGTTGAGTCACGAATTAGCTTTATCCTTCGCGAGAATCGAAAGTAACGCAGCCTTGGTTATGTTTTGAGCGCTAAAGGGATGTACGTGAGCACAAGCACGTTTCCCACGGCGTGAGATACACTCGAAAATCCTAACATTTCAAAACCTCGTGCAATAATTAAGTTCGGAAAGCTCGATTAATCTTTTGCGATAATAGTGAAGATTACGTGGAACACCTTTCGAGACACGGATCGCTCAATTAGCGCAGCATCAATTTTCTCTGAACATCGTTTAATCGTATCATGCGGCGCCATTAAACGAATCGGTTTCCAGCCGAGTCATCTGCGACGTATTCTTGCGAAATCTTCCCCTTTTTATTATCCACGGCTACGTATTCGAGCACGCGTCATTATCCACGGTTATCGCTCGCTCGGAAACGATCGCAACGATTTGCAACCCGGGCAGAGAACTCGGTAATTTTCAATGGACGCTCCCTCCTTGTGCCCATTAGCCGTTTGTACTTCGCGTTTTTTCGAACTTGTATCATCCTCCGGATTGCGATACAGAAATTGTTCTAGCGTTGCGTAAACGTCGTGTCGGCGGTCGGTTCAATAACGACTCGCTGCGCTAGGGTAGCCCTCAAGGGGGATTCTCAAGATTATTTTCTAGTCAAAAAATTGTCATGGGATTTTTGAATAGTAGGAGAATCGAAAGGGATTGCAACACGAACGGTGCAACAATTGGATGGGAAGACGCAATCCGGAGAGACGTAATCTGATTCGTGAATCAGCGAGGGAAACGATGTTCGGACAGACGGACAGACGTGTGGAACAATGAAATGCCTTCTGCGGCGAAAACAATTAAGGGGGCAACGAGTCAGAGTTCTGAAACGTAGCCTTGAATTTGAAAGAACAGGAGAGCGATTACGCTGACGAAATTACACGATATGAGAACGTTCGTAAACAATTCATATTAGACATTTCGATAGAGAAATTAGGAATATTACCGAAGACTTGCGATAAATGTTAATTCGATAAATTCTGTTTGAGAAACAGCGATCTGTCTACTCAGATTTTTTCAAATGTCAAACGAGAAATGAAACATGTTCAGCCGTACGATGGCTATGATACGAGTTTCTCGCAGGAATTTGTTTCCTGCGTCCAGACATGTGGTGTTCGTTCATACCTGTGGTTTCCGTCGTAACAAGACAAACACGCGTTACAACATGAATACTCTGTCCACCGGTGAACAGATTCATTGAATAAGCAACTTTCTCTGGTCTATTGACTGTCCGATAACTTTGTTCCAGCAGCTACGCTACATTCGCTTTCTACTCCGTTTGTGCAGAAACCAACTAACCCTTTTTGAATTTATTGAAAACGTTCAATTTGGATGTTCGAAGTTTACTCGAAGTAAATTCGACTATTACTTGTTGAAAACATCGGGGTGTATGATTCCACTTGCACGTATGAAGATGTGTCACGTAATTAGTCATCGACTGCAGGCTTCGAGCAACTCTGCTGGAAGTCACGCAACGGATCGGCAAAACTTTCGTCGTAGATTCGTTCAACGGCCCCCGAAGGTTGTATCGTCGGGAACCGATTTGTTTGGCGTCTTCGCCGGAAACCTTGATAATCATACGCACTCTCGCAGCCGCGTTACGCAATCGAATAGCTCGCTCGTTACTCACTGCCGCTGAATAACGTGCGAAAAAGCACGATGATCGTGACACGGGACAGTTTACGAGCATCGGACGATGATACTGTGGCTCCGATAGAAAAGTATTATTCACCAGCTTCTGGTATAAAGTATTTGCCGTGTCAGGATTAGAATACGTTTTATTGAGCGTGATCGTAGGTGTTCAAAGTTAGGCGTGCATCGATTAGGTGGAACCAAGGTTGATGGTGTAGGTTTAATATTCATGACTCAGGTACACGGTCAATGCTTAGTACTACGATTTAGATACGTTAAAAAGACATTGACACAGTAACACCTGTTCGAGCTATACGATTGTTATTATATGCATATTCATATCTATCTCGTTTTCGATCAAGATCGCGTAAACAACCTTTCTCGTAACAGTTTTTTGCTAAACGAATTGGGTCAAGTGTTACTGGATTAAAAAAATGCCAACTCACTGGTATCCTATTAACATAAAAAAATATTCATAAACTTGATATTATTAATGGCAAAGCTCATTGTGTTCAACATTATCATTGATGTGCTGAAAATGTCTACCGGGTAACATTGACTCTAAACAAGATTAATTATTCTATCCTTGATAATCCTTGAGAAGAACCGACTGAATTAATTGCCACGCACTTTCTTATTTATAAGAAAGAAGAGGACTTTCGATCTTTTCATAAAACTTTTCGCGAGATCTTTTGCGAGCAACCTTTGATCCGCAAGGACGATTTTCTTCCTCTCAGCGTGCGATTACTTAACACGCGAATAAATCACAATAAGTGGTTGTCGCGATCGAACAAATCGCAGCCGACGACAAAAACGACCGCCGTTAATTGGATCGTTACACCGACGTAGACTACTCGAGCCAACATGACGAGACTCTGATCGCCGATACTTTTCATTCTTCGCTGCGTTCACCGCTAGCAACGATGTAACGCGGGGTCGAAAGAAAATCGCAAAGAAAGAGATGACGGACGGTTATCTCGGGTGTTGATCATTTTTTATCGATTCGATCGTTAGATCCCATACCATTCAAGGCGACCGAGTGATCCCGAACGGTGGGATGCAGTCGCATTAAAATTTATCGAGCCGGTGCATCCAACGTTTGCACTGCCACGTGCAACGCGTTGTTCCACTTCGTTGCTCACGATTGTAATAACTTTATTGCCGCGGCGATATAACGAATGAATTTTTCATTGAAATCGCATGAACCATTATCAAGCCTCGTATCTACAGACGAAGTTATTAAATCTTGTAAGTTCCATGGCAAAAATAGAAACGCAATCGTACAGCGTGAATTTTTATCTTATATGTTTATGAGAGATACTAATGAATAGGTAAGAACCTAATCTTAAATATGAATGCTTATTAATTTCATCGGTCACTCATGTTTTCCTCTTCGACGTTATTTCTCACTGGCGGTAGGGAACGTAAAACGGAGGGCAGAGAAGATCAATCAGCCAGCACACAGGTGCGGTGCACAGGTGAACACAGGTTCTATGAATGCACGTGTACAGAAAAGGGACGAGGTATGTACGAGAGACTTACACAAGGCGACAGTATTCGGTTTAACTTGTGATTTCTACGTTCACTACCGA